CATGCTAAGCAAATTGTGGCCGTCGGCACTGACGTTTGCCCAAGGTTATTTCGAGATTATTAATTGACCTTGATTATTGTTTTATTACTTCAATATTATCTGTTCCCATATTAGTTCTTACCTGATCTTGGCCAACAACAAAAAAATAGTGTTGCCCACTTTCATAAATTTTTAATTTCTTTTTCACTTTATGAGATCACGTTATTGCTGACCGTATAATCATATCATTAGCCACATTTTTTTCTGATTGTATTGCAGGCCTCTTTACTTTTGGTAAAGGCCAATAAGATTAGATTGCATATTTCTCTCTCATACGAGGGAGGTGTTTATGCACACTTTCGATATCTGCCTTTGTCGCTTCTTCGGTGTTACCATGTCGACTGGGCGGCTTGTTCTTTTGAGGATTCGTCCCCCTATTTCTTTGGTGTCCAACACGCGCCTAATCTCATTCTTGGCATTATTCAATTCACCAATTGCTGTACTGTACTGTGGTAATTTTTTATTAAACCTACACTACTGATAGCATTTCAGAAAAATAATCAGTCCTTCGTCCATCATGAAATATTATTTTCAGGTCACTAGATTCATCTATCGAATACACTTACAGTTATTTTTAAGCGCAAACGACTGAATTATTTTCAGATCGCCCTTACTTTTCTATCTTTTTAGTCTGAAGGCATTCCGTCTCCGAAATGGATCTTACTTATGTATTGTTTTTATCCTTTTTAGCTATTTACCTGTTTTGAGGTCAGTTTTAATATTTTTAAACCTTTATTCCCCTGGTTCAATTTTATTAATCTAAACGGACTAGGCCTGCAGCTCTTCCTTCGGTGCTGATTCCACGACCTCCCGTCGTCACTATTATGGGTCATGTTGACCATGGCAAGACCACACTTCTGGATGCATTGCGATCAAGTCGCCTTGTGGATAGTGAATTCGGTGGTATTACTCAACATCTGGCTGCTTTTAGCGTCACTTTGGATGAGGCTGAGAGAGCAGCTTGTAATTCTCCTAACTATTCGCCAATTGGTATATCGTATCCCAAGGCTGCAATTTCCAGCATCACCTTCCTTGACACACCGGGTCATGCCACTTTCACTGCAATGCGAGCTCGTGGAGCCAAGGCTACTGACTTTATAGTTCTTGTTGTTGCCGCTGATGATGGCGTTATGCCTCAAACTGTAGAGTCTATACGACTTGCAAAGGATTCCAACGGTGGGAAATATGAACTCTTTATTATTCAAAACCTCTTCCGTACATAGGGAGCCATTAAATAAACTGTCTCGACATTCTTAATTTAGGGCTGTGGCTATAAACATTGCATATTTATTGTTTATATCCATTACTATTAGGCCTCCACTACTTGAAGATTGCTTCTTATATCTCTATTAAATCTCGGCCTTGCTTACTCTGCCACTTGGAAGGATGTTACTTAGTAAGTGTATATATCTGGATGAAATTAATTTGTTGAATAATTGCACGATATACCTTGACTTCTTGAGTTAAAGCTTATTGTATATAATATAGGTCCGTTTATTCTTTGGAAGTCAAATGATTAGTAGATGAGTGCATTGAGCTTAATCATTTCCATTGCAAGCATTACGTTTTCCGTTATATCTTAAACGTAAATGTGACATTTACATGAGGTATTAAGATATTTAGTCATTTATAATACAATTCAAGCTTGGAAGATTTTTTCATTCATTTGTCTTACCATTTCAATCTAAAACAAAATGTATCTGTTTTCCAACTTCATTTCTCCATGCCAAATATGCTAAAGCCTCGTTTAGCACAATTCCTTACCTGCTGTGCTTTGCTTCCATAGCTGGTGCTATGCAACCTTTTAGTTACGTAGAAGCCAAACTGATAGTCTCGTATACATACGAGTTCTTCCAAAACTTTATTCGTTTATTGTTTTGGGGGCAACTTCTCTAACCTTAAACGAACTATGGTGGATGTAACTCAAAGATTCTCATCATGTCTCTGCATTGAAATTTATTTGTTCTATAACTGAATAGTTTTTGATCTGCATACGCTTCCTATATTAGTCTGGGGGCATTTTATACTGTTTTCATTTCTTCTATACTATATCTATGCTGCAAATGATTTATCTTTTATCTTACGCTTTTAATTATGCTATATTTTATGCTTTTGTCTCTAGTTCCGATAGTAGTTGCCATCAACAAAATGGACAAAAAAGGTGCAAATCTGGTATGTTTTTCTTCATTTCTCTTTTTGTTGATTATATATTCCCCATTTTTTGTTCTTATTAAATTTATTCCCATTACACCACAGTTTTTCTCCACAAAATAGTGTAAAACTCTTAATCCAATTTTTTAGTGCACCTCTTGGTATCTGTTAGCTTTTTTTAAAAAATTAAGCCTATGATTTTAGGCTTTACTAATTTTTAGAAGCAGTTTGACCTTGTTTTCGCAATTTGGTCATATTGGTAGAAAGACTTAATGGAGCACACCTAGTCCGGAGTCCATTGTATGCATGATAATTTCCAGTCTGACCGTGGATTTTGTACATTCCCAGACGTTTCGCTAGCATTGCCTGTCTTAGCATAACACTACAACTAGTCAACATAGACAAGTAAGCCTATCCTTTGACAAAATGTGTGCTAAACAGTTGTGGTATCTCCCCTTCTGCCCTGAGCTATTCACATTTCCTATATCCTCGTATCAGG